AGAAAAGGAACAAAGGGAGTGAAAAACAAACCCAACAAAGCGGTAAAAAAAAAACAGAAATTCCCTCGGGGCGCAACCAAAAAAAATTTTCCCATTTATTCCCCAAAAGAAAGTCTGGGGAATTTGAGGAAAAGGGTAAAAAACCAAAATAAAAGGGCCAAATTCCCCCCGCCAATTAAATTTTCTTAAGACAGTCCTTTTTTTTTGCCCCCCCCCCCCCCGGTCGCTGTACTACACAGTTTGGTTAAAATTTTCTACGGCAATGCCACAACAAAGTCAGATCACAAGGAAACACATTACGATCCCAGGAACAAAAAAGAACATTTGATTCATGATGTGTGCGTGCCTTGTGAGGTATCCCAAGGTAGCGGAATGTAGTAGACTGCGAGCGGTCGTCCTTCTTTTCTCAGAGCCATGCGCGGCGAGTGAAAAAGCGAAATTATGTATATTGATGGTAAAAAGAGGGAGAGTTTGCGGAGTTTCGTTTTTCTTTCGGGCTTCCGCCTTCGTTCCTCGCGTCTTTACCGCTCGCCCATCCCACCTCACGCGTGCTCGTGACCAACTTTGACTCAAAAGAAAAACAAGAGACTGCTCACAGTCTAGGAATGTAGCGGATTCTTATAGTTATTTGTACAAATCCTCGTTCACTATGCTAGCTGGCAGTCGGTTTAATAATCTTTTCTTCATATACGGCAACTGCGCCTTAAACCGTCCTGCATTGTCGAAGTTGTTAACTTATTTTTAAAAACTCAAACGCCTTTTGTGCACAAGAATTTCAAAAATCGAAATTGTGTTGATTGTTTCTTTCCTGTAAAGCAAGGTATAAAGAGACATTTTATCGAGATCGTATTAGTTCATTTAATTGCAGTTCGTTCTATTGGGTTTCATTTTAAATTTTGAAAGAACAGGTTTCCGAAAGTTTACAGAGTCACTGTATGTTAGGGGAAGACACGGGGCGAAAGCGCGGAAGAATAGGGGGCGGGAGGGGTACGGGACGAGAGAGAGGCCGGAAGAGCGGGAGGAGTGAGTTCTGAAAGGGCAGGAAGCAGAAGAAATAGAGGTAAATTATGCAACAATGCTTCTTATTTCGCAATCGAAAAAGGCTTTAAAAAAGGGTGGAAGGCGAGAATGGCAAATTAGAGAAAACGAGAGCTTTGGACTTCCCTGTCCTCCCTACTTTAAACACGAGTTAACGCCCTTTAACGGGGACCATCGCACGTGCACCGTGCATTTTCTTGTCTAGTATCTTCAGAGTGATTTTCGTGATTGTTCTCTGGATTCTCAGTGTGGGTTTTAGTTTGAGGGACCAGTATATGGGAACTCGAGACAGCTACTTGCTTCTAGTTCCTCCAAATACCCCATGTGTGACTCAACAGCTCTTTGGAAATAAGGTAATCGAGTCACTGAGTGTGTTACAGTCTTCAGTGAAAGCTGGTGCAATGCATAGATACAACACGTTGCTTTAAAAACGTTCATGAACTGATTCTTGTCAAAAGTTCTTCCACTGAATTTTTCGAGTTGTTCTTGGTAAAAGCGCACTAATTTCGTGCGAGTAGTGACGTCACATTTTCCAGGGAGCACAAAAGCGAGGAATTCAACCACGTCGTGTTGAGGCACATGAATTGTTGCCATTTCCCAGTCGTAAATGCAAGACTGTCGGAATATTGATCTATTGGTTGTTATTAGGTGATCATTGTGTCTTTCTTCAGTTGCTTCTTGCTTACGTAAACACACATTTCTTGGAGTAAAATCATAGTGAACCAGGGTTCGAGGAAATGGTTCGATAACTTGCCACACGCGGTCAAGGTTGTCAATAAAACTACCAACAAGTCGCGTCCTAAAATAGAAAACATAAGGTCATTTTTCAGCGTTTTTGATAGAGGACTATTGTAGGTTTTAGACTCTATGGGTATTTCCGACGAAATCAAAGTCGCCACGAACGCTATTGATGATCGCTATTGATATGGCACTGATCCCGATAACTTGATCGGAATCAACGGCAGATCAAGGCCAAGAAATACACCAAAAAGTATGTTGCACGTTCGGAGTTTTATTTTGCTTATTTAACCTGTTTCTTTTTAGTTTCTCGCTTCCGTCATCATCGTGGTTGCTCGGGCCCTCTGGTAGCGTTATCATGGGACGATTTCTCGAGATTTCTTTCGAGAACTAACGATTTGACATAAAACGCACGACGAAAACGACATCCACAGCACCCACCCATATAGAGGTTCATATATTATGGAATGGAAACAGCTTTCTGCCGTCACCTGTTCTGTGTCCAGATGTCAGGAAACGTCATGTGACTGTTACGTAAGAGAGCTC